GGAAAGGGGTTAGCGCCCGGCCCCCGCCCCGAGCCGCCCGCGCGGCCCCTCTCCGTGGTGGACGAGTCCTGGGAGCTGCTGGACCCGAGTCCGGACGTGCGCGGCCTCTTCGTGCAGTTCAACGAGGAGCTGTTCTGGGGGCGGCTGGCGGCCGTGGAGGTGTCGTGGAGCCCGCGGATGACGCTGTACGCGGGGGAAGGGAGGGCTTGCACCCCGATATGTGCGCACGCGCTCTCTCAGCCCCGGGGGCCCTTTCCTGCCTTGCCAGCAAGGCTTCCTGCTGCCACCTGAAGCTCCTGCTTCACGGCCCCCGCAGGCAGGCCGTTTGTAACCAATTTCAGCCACGTGTCATTTGTTTAATGCTAGCTCAAAATGTTCGTTGGAGTGAGTCCATGCATCCCTCAGGTGGGGTGAGGTAATCGTGGATGGTCCTGCTTTGACCTCCTGAGGTCACCCAAGCTCAGGTGATAGTGAACTTGGGTGTGGGAATCAATCCCATGTTAGATGCTGAAGCTGGCTTGATTTTGTGTTATGGATCTGAAGGAGACGAACAGTTAATTCTCGAGGACGGGGCTAAAGAAACGCCGCCTCATGGTTATTTTTGCCTCATTCGTTCCGTTGTGGCGGGGGTATACAAAACATGGGATATAGCAAATGGATGCACGTTCCAGTGAAGCCGTGCTGGTTTTTCCCTTGAGGTTAAGTGGAACAGCACAGCCCCAGGCCCCAAGCCTGTTGGGAAAGCTTCTAGTTTCTTTTTACCCAGAGAATTATGCACCTCAGTGTCTGCACCCCCCTTCTCCAAATCCTAGTTTTGCCCATGCTCCCAGCCCTGATGCCTGGCCTCTTCCCTGCTGGCTTTCTCAGCTTCGGGACTCCTGTCTATTGGCAGTAATAGCAGCAGCCCCAGGCTTTGTTGGGAACCTGGTTCCTTTGTCCTCACTGCCATGTCTGAGTGCTGGCTCCTCAGGGGTGAGTTGGAGCAGCCACCTGGCTCTGCTTTGGCCCCCTTAAAGACCTAGAGTAGTTTTGGGGGTTTGGGTTTTTTTTTACATTATCTTTTCCACATCTGCACAAGGTAAAACTTGGTCCAAGTACAAAATCTTTCCCAAACTGCACGTCAGGCTTGAGATTTTAGTACTTGCACTGTCTTTGTAGCAGGGCCATAGCTGTCTGCTCTGTTTTTATGAGATGCATTTATTTTTTAAATGCAGCAGCAGAAAGTTGTAGATTTCGGCGAAGGGTAACACTCAGCAGATCTGCGCTGCAAAGAATGGGTTTGGGCTTCTGTTTCCTGTTCTGTGCGAGGCCTGAGTTGTTGTTTTTTAAATGAAAGTGCTGGTCTGTAGACAGAACAGGTCACCTTTGAATGCACAAATGGTATGTCTTAAGTTCTTAACTCTGAATCAAGTGTTATCAAATGGAAGCAAGTAAATTGTGGGTTGTGGATTGTTGTTTTTTGTTTGTTTGTTTGTTTGTTTGTTTGTTTGGGGGGGGTTGATAGTGCTTACCAAGATGACCTTTTCTAGTCTGTACTGTAAAAGGATTTAATACTTGAAAGGACTTGATTCTTAGTTTAGCAAGGTTGAATAGTTATCTGAAGGAGAGCTCTTTTTCAAGTACAGCTTACTTCAGCTATGTTAAGAGGGATCAGTATTTGTAAATCTACTTCTCAACTCTGCTCTGCCAGCTATGAAAGTAAATGGGAATTGTACGTTCTGTTTGTATTTCTCTTTCAGCTGTGCTGGCGTGTGCAGCTACGAAGGAAGGGGTGGAATATGTTCCATCCGCCTAAGTGAACCGTTGTTAAAGCTAAGACCAAGGAAGGACCTTGTAGAGGTATTTTAAGACTGACTGCTTATTATCTCTGTTAAAGGATAGCTGATAGTTTGCAAGAGGGGCTTTATTCACAGTGCTTTGTAGATTGTGAAGTAGCTTTTGGTTTTCTAAGAACCTTGTGTTTGGTGTTTTATTGTTAGTTGTTTAAACATGTAAATTGTTAATCTGTCAGTCACAACTTTTATTTAAACTGATGCTTTTCTGACTCCCTTAACTTTCAAAAAAATCCCCCAAATTAGCTTTCTGGCTCTTGAAATGCTCCGTCCAACTGAGTAAAAGTTTACTCTGCCATTTAGAGTGCAAAATAAAGTAGTTCAGTTTTACTTCTAGGTCAAACAGCCCAGTTACCCGAAAGCAAAGATGCGGGGTTTGACTATAAATGTAAGCTTCATGCTGTTCTTCGCCTCTCTGCTAAGAATTTATGTGAGTTAATTGCCATTCAAGCTGTGAGTGTAAACTACTGTTCTGCACCTGCTATGAGTCAAAGCCCAGGACAGTTGGATCTGGGGTACACCTGACCTCTTTTTACCCTGGTTTTCCACGTTCCCCTTTGAACTATTTGGATGTAAACAGATGTTGCCTTTTGTTAGCCTATTTTATCTCACATACTTCACAAGTACTTGAAGTGGGACAGAAGATCCTAATGTAGTCTCTGTTCCACTTCAAGTACTTGTGAAGTAAGGGATACAAAATAGGCTAACACTTTTTTCTAGGGCAATGCTGTGGTAACTAAGTTGAAAGTAACTCATGTGAGTTAGTTGCCAGTTGTTCCAGGGACAAGCCTGTCAGGCTGTTTGTTCTGTCTGGTGACTGAGCAGCAATGTAGTGTGGAAGGTCTGTACTTTCTCTTTTATCCTGGGATTTGACTTGGGTCAATCAGGACTGCCTCATATGAAACATCTGTTTTCCAAGCAGCTTTAAACAGGTTTAAGAGGGTTTATGCCTATCTGCCTCAGATTTAAACTGCATTATTTAAATAGGTTTAAGTATTACATGTGTTATACCCTTTGGTGTCTCCCTGCTCAGTGCACTGGCTATGGGGAATTCCATTCTGAGGCACCTAACTCCTTATTCCTTATATGGGGAGCTTAAGGGACCAACTTGGGTTTATGACACTTAGAAAATAGGCATAGATGTAGACTAGTGATAAGAAGTTTTGCAAAATGTTTGTATCTACTACTTGCAACTACTCCACTTCTTCCTAGTGAAGTATTTAAAAAAAAAAAACCCATGGGAAGGTAGGCAAAGTTTGGATATCGTGCCTCACAGTATGGTTCCTTAGAATGCCCTTTGGGTCATATGGAGAGAAACTTTGTGGGTTTGGCAGTTTAGAGAAGTATTGTAGTATGTTCCTGACCCCATACTTAAGTTGTAGATTCATAGAAATAGGATTCATTACCAAAATAAGTATAAAAAAATAATGGGAAAACCAACCTATAAGCTATATTTTAAATAATATACTTTTTTTTTTTCAAGAAACATCAGCAGTTGCTTTTTTATTTCAGACTCTATTACATGAGATGATTCACGCTCTACTGTTCGTTACTAACGATGACCGAGACCGTGACTCTCATGGGCCAGAGTTCCGTAAGCACATGCGTCGCATCAATCGCTTGACTGGAGCCAATGTTACAGTAAGTGCTTTACACTTAACAAAATGCTATCTAGCAGATTTAAACTCTGTCTGTCTATCTGGCAGTTCAAGCATTATGTATTTACATATTCCTGAATTACCATGACTGATATATAGGCATTTCTGTAGCCAAACTGTAACCTTGGGTGGATGCGTATTAATTGCATCGTAAGGGAAATGTAGGTTGAGGTTGGTGGGGCTTTGCACTTGCCTGAACTCTGTTGTGTATTTGGCTGGGAACATGCAATTCTTCAGTTAGAATGGCTCCAGAGATTATTTTCATTTTTAGGTTTGAAGTGGCCTTATGAACTCTGAAGAAAAAGCCCTTCAGTTTTGAAAAAGAAAGGCCGGTTTGCTTTGTTTTAAGAAGTTATTTGAGAGATTATTGGATAAATGATCTTTATGTAGTATTAACGAGAATTTTTAAATCTAAAGATGCTGACTTTTGAGGAAAGACTTTGTTTCATGTTAAAAATGGCTTCCATGCGTGCTGCATGCTGTTAGCAGCTGAACTCTGTGCCTTGCTTCAACCCCGTCGTGCATGATCATTTTCCTTATGCCCATCACCAAGGAATTAAGAGATGATATTAAACACTATGCATGTAGAGATGGTGACATGCATATAGCGGATGATTCTTATAAAATGGGAATAAACATTGTGACTTGACTTCCTGTTTTACATTTAGATCCGTCACAACTTCCATGATGAGGTGGATTTATATCGCCAACATTGGTGGCGATGCAATGGCCCATGTCAAAATAAAAAGCCTTATTTTGGGTATGTGAAACGTTCAATGAATAGGGCACCCTCTGCAAGAGACTTCTGGTGGGTGGAGCACCAAGAATCCTGTGGAGGCACATTCACAAAAGTGAAAGAGCCAGAGAACTATTCTAAAAAAGGCAAGGAAAAAACCCAGCCAGGAAAACTTTCAAGCTCCAAACCATCTGATGATAAAGGTACTTAACTTATTTTGTTTTCCTCCTTCAAAACTATTCCTACTTGGTATAGTATCCAGGTGAACATAAATAGATGAATAAATAGATAGTGCTATGCTAGCATTAAAAAGCTGGTACAGTTGTGCAGAGTGATCCTTGCTTTAGCTCTGACAGGGACCAGATAAAGAAAATTTAGATTTCTGGCTCTGCCTATGATGTTCTTATTTGGTGGTATTACAGATAACAAATCAGCTTTCAGATGTGTTTTGCTACTCAAATGAACACTTATGAAAATGTTATTCCATTAATATTTCACCTCTTGCTTAAAATTCTGGGTGAAAGGAGTAAATACTTTTAAATGTGTAGTTTAAAGTCACAGAACATGCAGCAGAAACTTCAATCCACACAATAGTCTGTATTCTTGAATAGGAAGCTTTCAATTTACGTTCTTACAGTTGTGGAGAGAGCTTTGAAAACGTATCACAGTGTTATCTTTTTGAGTCTAAACCTAATGGGTTCCTAATTTCTGTAACCTAAACAATGACTTTTAAAATGTCTATTCATTATTTCTGTTAGCTAGCTGATGGTGATATAAATAATCACACAGGCTGAATATTTCTAATTCCAACCTCACTCCCTAGATGCTGAAAGCTAGAGGTTTTGAAAGCTAAATAGAAAATGCTCCGATGACTTACTAGCCCCATATCTGATTATAATTGAAGCATTTCTCCATTGTCACTGCAAATATAATAATTAAGCACACAAAAAGGCAATCTACTCTATTGCTTTATTGATTTGTGTTGCATAATAAAATGAAGTTCATCTTTTATTTAAAAAATAATAAAAGTTGTTGTAAATGCCTATTGTTCCCCCGTCCCCTGCTAGCATGCCAGTATTTGGGGATAATACCTTAGGTTCAGATCCAACTGGTGGTATAAATGAGGCCTTGTGTATACCTGCAAAGTATTTTAGTCTCATTTTCTCTTTTAAATTCAAATAGCAATTAACCAGGAGTTAACTGTCTTTGTTAGAGCCTTGCAAATTTGTTTTGTATAAAGTTTTACTAATCTCTCATTTTGCAGGAAAGAAATATGGAGGTGATACACAAAGCCTAATTCCCTTTTCTGGAAATGGATATCGGCTTGGGGGAACAAACAGTGGATCCTCAGAAAAAATCACAAGCTCAATCACCACTATTAAGAGCAAAGAAATACTTAGTTCACCACATCCATCAGCAGCTAGAAGCACAAGACCTGTTCCTAAAAATGAAATAAAATTTGAAAACTCGCCCCGCAGCAACGCTCTCTTTCCACTTAAATTTGATGATACTAGTCATGAAAACAAATTTGCCTCGGAGCTTGAATTTCCTAAATTATCCGTTGCTAATACAAAAGTTTACAAGAACATTAATGGGTCGCCTGTTAAAATTTCTGCTCTTATTGGAGGAAAATCAAACAGACTTTCTACAAATGCTAAGTGGGCTTTGCCATCTTCTAATGAGACACCAAGACAGATTTTCTTTGAACAAACTCCAAGAGCCTGGGTTGCATCTCAGGGAAATAAGAGCTTGGAAACTGTTGGTATGCCAAAGAAACGGCCAAAAATGGAGGACAAAACTGCCTTTGAAAACTTCTTCATAAAAAGAGAGAGAATGGATAGCAATTTTAGAACTAGCACTCCTATAAAAAGCCTTGCTGAATCAACAGTGTCCTCTGCCAGTACTAATTCTGCTGTCAATCAGGTTAAAAATGTCAGCTGTCCTGTTTGCCAGACTGAGGTTTTGGAATCTAAAATAAATGAACACTTAGACTCCTGTCTCTCCTAGGAATGCAAGCTCAAAACCAAGCGCTGACAATGTTTTCAAAACTTTGTTTTGCTCGGGGTTTGTCCAGCTCTAATTATTGTCATGTGCCTCCCTGCTAGCCTTCATCATCCAAGCTTGGGAAAACACTTGTGTCTCTGTGTCGAATGAGGTCTAAGTCACTTTCAGCATGGAAGGACAGTTCTGATCTTTTGGATCTTAATTTGGATATTAAGATGTGACATAAGTACTAGAGTATCATGTCTCTCTCATATTTTTATATGTTTGTGCTTTAGTATAAGGATGGTTGGGATACATTTTTGCTAGGAATTTATTGCCATGGAAGGAGGCATAATTACTGGGTGCATTCTGAAGAAAAATATCTGTCTGATGAGAAAAAGTTTATTATTTTAACCTTGCTATTTTGTCTTTGATCTTAAATTTATCTGGCTACTCTTAAATAACTTCTAGGCTGTCCTTCAGATCCATAGGTAACCGCCTATTTATCTTTTTTGTTTGTTAGTTTTTAACTGCAGCGCTGTTTCTCATGTCTTGCAGATATTTTTACTACTGACATCAAATATTATTTTTAAACCACAGCTACACTTTCAAATGATGGTTTCTGTCCAGAAGTATTTTAAAAAAGGTATGAGTGTAGGTGTGACTAGATGCTCATATGATGACCATATTAAAAGTGGGGAGAAATTAATATGATGAAAAATTAGGTTAAATGTTCATTTGCATATAATCTTAGCTTAAAGGATAGGTAGGAGTGTGAGGACAGGAAAATGAGTAATAATAAGGAATTCTAGATCACTAACCATGCTGGATTTATCAGGTAGAGGAAGATTTAAGACCTAGCTTGGAGGATTTGATAGGAGATTAGTCATTTTGTATTACTTGTCTTTAAGATAGGTGGGAACAGGAGCTGAGATGGGTATTTTTAAGTACACTTATTACAATGTACTTACAAGGCTGTTAGGAGTTCTGTTGGTCTCAGCTTTTTGTAATGCACCTGTATAGTGGGTGAGAAGGAAGAACTAACCAGTTTTCAAACAACTTTCACTTTTTTTTCCTTATCTCTTGCACTGATGCTAATACTTAAAGTTTAGTGGTCTCACTCCTTCTCAGGATATGTGGTTTGTATAATTGAGCACTGTTTGCTGAGAGTGCCTTAAATAGAAGTTGTGCTGAGTACGGGTAGTAAAACTAGGAGAGCTGTATCACTATTCTGCCACAAAAGTCTTTCTGAAGTCTGAATTTAAATGCAACCTTGTAACTGACTCCAGTCCAGAAAGTCCAGTCAGTTGCTGCCTGAGGCAGATCTTACCTTGACTTCCCTATCAGCCTAACTAGTTTGCCCGTATGCACCAACACTACCGGTTATTATATGTTATGAATACTGAGTAGGATAGTATACAGAGCCTATTGAAATGTTTACTGTTCAATTGGTGCACTAAAAGTATTCAGTTGAATAGGTCTGACAATTGGGGCAACTTGTGACTTGTAAAACAAGTTGCCCGCATAAGCATTTTTATAATAACAGACTATTTTATACCAAATTGTCTATTATACTGCTGCTAAGCTTGTAGACTGGCTGGGATGGCAGCCAGTGGTGCATTTGAAGTTATTTACAGGTCACAGTCCCTGTGAATAAACAAGTTATGCTGTTACAGAACTTGACAAGTGATATCTGATATATAGCTTCAGACTGGATCAGTATTCCTGTTTTTAGAACTTGTGTTTTTAAAAAGAAAACTGATATGCCAGATGTTGAAATGTTAATAAAAATTAGGCTTTCATACACCAAATAAAACACAATGCTGACATTTGAGCTGCTGTAAAGTCTGGCTTTTTGTATTTTATTTGCTTATGCTTAGACACATTTAACCAATAGCAGTCAATTTCAGGGGTCCTTGAAATAACTGGATGACTGTCCTTAATTAGTATGCAAAGACCTTGAGAGAGCTGCTTAAACTTTGTTAAGTATAGGCTTCACTCATATCCCTTTTCTCCATCTCTTTTGTAGGACACTTTCATGTTCAAGGGATATTTTTGATAGTTTCACTATGCCCAACTGATTCTAAAAATGCCAACTGCAAAACTTGATCTGACCTCTTCTTCCATATAGAGTCATAGAGAAGTGGGGCTGGAAGCAACCGCCAGATGTCATGTAGTCACCCTAGCCTGAAGCAGGATCATTCCTATGCAAACTATCCTATGCAGTTCATAATCTAAACTCTATATAAAGATGGCCATCAACCCTGATACAACACAGACTTAACACCCTCACGTGCCACAGGTAAAGCAGGGGAACCACAGCAGCCAATGTCCTGCTTCTATAAAATGTTGACAATATATGCTCAAGAGGCCAGCCCCTTGCTACAGAGAGAGACAAAAACCCTCATAGTCCATACCAAACTGACCATGGGGTAGAATTCCTTCCTGATGCCAAATATGGTGATTGGACTGACCCCTGAGTAGAGGAGCAAGACCAGGGTGTGCAAAATATTGAACTTGAACTTCATCCTGTTAGCTCTCGCCCCACTTTCCAATCTGTTGAGATCCTTCTGAATTGCATTCACGTGCTGCACATTCACAGTCCTTTCTCGTTTTATGTTGTCTGCAAACGTGCTCAAGAAGCTTCCTGTGCCAGCATCCAAATTGTTAATGAACACATTGAACATTACTAGGCGAAGGATAGACCCCTGTGGCACTCCACTCAAAACCTTGATTTTTGCGGGGAAGATTGAGGCAAAGTAGCTGTTGAGTAACTCTGATTTCTTTGTATCTTTTTGGTTAGGAATTCCCCTTGTCTTGTTAATAGAAGACCTACAGCTTCCTTGGTCCTTTTTGGGCCAGCATACTTAATAGAGCTTTTTCTTGGTGTCTTTAACCTCTTTTGCCAGGTGCAGCTCATTCTTTATCTCTGCATTCCTGATTTTGTCTCTGCGGGTTCTTGCTATTTCCTGGTACTCTTCCTTGGTGACCTGTCCTGTTCCTTGGCCTGTATGCTTTCCTTTTGCATTTGAGGCATTTTGAACACTCCTCATGCAGCCACATTGGTCTCTTGCCATTCTTGTGCTTCCATTGTGTTGGGACAGTTTCTTGTTGGGCTTCCTATACTGTGCCCCTTAGAAGCTCCCAGCCCTCCTGGGCACCTTTATCCTTCAACCTATCCTCCCATGACACCATGCCTATTAGGCTCCTTTCAGTTGGATGAAATCCAGATGAACCTTTTTGACATGATGTTCTTATTTGGTGGTATTACAGATAACAAATCAGCTTTCAGATGTGTTTTGCTACTCAAATGAACACTTATGAAAATGTTATTCCATTAATATTTCACCTCTTGCTTAAAATTCTGGGTGAAAGGAGTAAATACTTTTAAATGTGTAGTTTAAAGTCACAGAACATGCAGCAGAAACTTCAATCCACACAATAGTCTGTATTCTTGAATAGGAAGCTTTCAATTTACGTTCTTACAGTTGTGGAGAGAGCTTTGAAAACGTATCACAGTGTTATCTTTTTGAGTCTAAACCTAATGGGTTCCTAATTTCTGTAACCTAAACAATGACTTTTAAAATGTCTATTCATTATTTCTGTTAGCTAGCTGATGGTGATATAAATAATCACACAGGCTGAATATTTCTAATTCCAACCTCACTCCCTAGATGCTGAAAGCTAGAGGTTTTGAAAGCTAAATAGAAAATGCTCCGATGACTTACTAGCCCCATATCTGATTATAATTGAAGCATTTCTCCATTGTCACTGCAAATATAATAATTAAGCACACAAAAAGGCAATCTACTCTATTGCTTTATTGATTTGTGTTGCATAATAAAATGAAGTTCATCTTTTATTTAAAAAATAATAAAAGTTGTTGTAAATGCCTATTGTTCCCCCGTCCCCTGCTAGCATGCCAGTATTTGGGGATAATACCTTAGGTTCAGATCCAACTGGTGGTATAAATGAGGCCTTGTGTATACCTGCAAAGTATTTTAGTCTCATTTTCTCTTTTAAATTCAAATAGCAATTAACCAGGAGTTAACTGTCTTTGTTAGAGCCTTGCAAATTTGTTTTGTATAAAGTTTTACTAATCTCTCATTTTGCAGGAAAGAAATATGGAGGTGATACACAAAGCCTAATTCCCTTTTCTGGAAATGGATATCGGCTTGGGGGAACAAACAGTGGATCCTCAGAAAAAATCACAAGCTCAATCACCACTATTAAGAGCAAAGAAATACTTAGTTCACCACATCCATCAGCAGCTAGAAGCACAAGACCTGTTCCTAAAAATGAAATAAAATTTGAAAACTCGCCCCGCAGCAACGCTCTCTTTCCACTTAAATTTGATGATACTAGTCATGAAAACAAATTTGCCTCGGAGCTTGAATTTCCTAAATTATCCGTTGCTAATACAAAAGTTTACAAGAACATTAATGGGTCGCCTGTTAAAATTTCTGCTCTTATTGGAGGAAAATCAAACAGACTTTCTACAAATGCTAAGTGGGCTTTGCCATCTTCTAATGAGACACCAAGACAGATTTTCTTTGAACAAACTCCAAGAGCCTGGGTTGCATCTCAGGGAAATAAGAGCTTGGAAACTGTTGGTATGCCAAAGAAACGGCCAAAAATGGAGGACAAAACTGCCTTTGAAAACTTCTTCATAAAAAGAGAGAGAATGGATAGCAATTTTAGAACTAGCACTCCTATAAAAAGCCTTGCTGAATCAACAGTGTCCTCTGCCAGTACTAATTCTGCTGTCAATCAGGTTAAAAATGTCAGCTGTCCTGTTTGCCAGACTGAGGTTTTGGAATCTAAAATAAATGAACACTTAGACTCCTGTCTCTCCTAGGAATGCAAGCTCAAAACCAAGCGCTGACAATGTTTTCAAAACTTTGTTTTGCTCGGGGTTTGTCCAGCTCTAATTATTGTCATGTGCCTCCCTGCTAGCCTTCATCATCCAAGCTTGGGAAAACACTTGTGTCTCTGTGTCGAATGAGGTCTAAGTCACTTTCAGCATGGAAGGACAGTTCTGATCTTTTGGATCTTAATTTGGATATTAAGATGTGACATAAGTACTAGAGTATCATGTCTCTCTCATATTTTTATATGTTTGTGCTTTAGTATAAGGATGGTTGGGATACATTTTTGCTAGGAATTTATTGCCATGGAAGGAGGCATAATTACTGGGTGCATTCTGAAGAAAAATATCTGTCTGATGAGAAAAAGTTTATTATTTTAACCTTGCTATTTTGTCTTTGATCTTAAATTTATCTGGCTACTCTTAAATAACTTCTAGGCTGTCCTTCAGATCCATAGGTAACCGCCTATTTATCTTTTTTGTTTGTTAGTTTTTAACTGCAGCGCTGTTTCTCATGTCTTGCAGATATTTTTACTACTGACATCAAATATTATTTTTAAACCACAGCTACACTTTCAAATGATGGTTTCTGTCCAGAAGTATTTTAAAAAAGGTATGAGTGTAGGTGTGACTAGATGCTCATATGATGACCATATTAAAAGTGGGGAGAAATTAATATGATGAAAAATTAGGTTAAATGTTCATTTGCATATAATCTTAGCTTAAAGGATAGGTAGGAGTGTGAGGACAGGAAAATGAGTAATAATAAGGAATTCTAGATCACTAACCATGCTGGATTTATCAGGTAGAGGAAGATTTAAGACCTAGCTTGGAGGATTTGATAGGAGATTAGTCATTTTGTATTACTTGTCTTTAAGATAGGTGGGAACAGGAGCTGAGATGGGTATTTTTAAGTACACTTATTACAATGTACTTACAAGGCTGTTAGGAGTTCTGTTGGTCTCAGCTTTTTGTAATGCACCTGTATAGTGGGTGAGAAGGAAGAACTAACCAGTTTTCAAACAACTTTCACTTTTTTTTCCTTATCTCTTGCACTGATGCTAATACTTAAAGTTTAGTGGTCTCACTCCTTCTCAGGATATGTGGTTTGTATAATTGAGCACTGTTTGCTGAGAGTGCCTTAAATAGAAGTTGTGCTGAGTACGGGTAGTAAAACTAGGAGAGCTGTATCACTATTCTGCCACAAAAGTCTTTCTGAAGTCTGAATTTAAATGCAACCTTGTAACTGACTCCAGTCCAGAAAGTCCAGTCAGTTGCTGCCTGAGGCAGATCTTACCTTGACTTCCCTATCAGCCTAACTAGTTTGCCCGTATGCACCAACACTACCGGTTATTATATGTTATGAATACTGAGTAGGATAGTATACAGAGCCTATTGAAATGTTTACTGTTCAATTGGTGCACTAAAAGTATTCAGTTGAATAGGTCTGACAATTGGGGCAACTTGTGACTTGTAAAACAAGTTGCCCGCATAAGCATTTTTATAATAACAGACTATTTTATACCAAATTGTCTATTATACTGCTGCTAAGCTTGTAGACTGGCTGGGATGGCAGCCAGTGGTGCATTTGAAGTTATTTACAGGTCACAGTCCCTGTGAATAAACAAGTTATGCTGTTACAGAACTTGACAAGTGATATCTGATATATAGCTTCAGACTGGATCAGTATTCCTGTTTTTAGAACTTGTGTTTTTAAAAAGAAAACTGATATGCCAGATGTTGAAATGTTAATAAAAATTAGGCTTTCATACACCAAATAAAACACAATGCTGACATTTGAGCTGC